AAAGAAATACTTATCAACCATTGAGATCTTAATATACTTTTTTAAAATTCATTAATGCCAAGTAGAATTAGTTGCTAGTTTTGAGTATATTGTGTAAAATGTTTATTAATGTTATATTACCAGGCTCATAGCTAATGTTATTTATTGAATTTGCAGTCTATCACACTGGGTGTAGTCCCGACACAAGAAGAGGACATTTCTAGGTAAGTTTTTTTCAGGAGTTTTAAGGGGTTATAGATAAAGATTCTTTTTTTTAATTTTTTGGAACAATTTATTGATTTTATCTTCTTCAATGGGACATTTTATCCAACTAATCTATCCTTACCTCTTTTGAATTCACATTTTTTTAATATCTTCAATAATTATCTACTTAAGCTACTTAAGTCTACCTTTCTATTTTCCATACATTAAACTTCTAGAAATATTGATTTTATGGTGTTTTTTTTATTTATTATTAGCACTTGTTATTGAAGATGTCTCCTTTATAAAGTTCACCAAAGTTTAAATATTTTTAATAGAAAAGGCTTTTGCTCATTAATATTAATAAAAAAAAATTGAAACCTAAATGTTGCTATTAGTTGTTGTTAGATTTGTATATGTCTGTAGTCTTCGTATAAATATGATTATTTTCCTATCAGTCTACCGACAAGCCTTGAGTTACCTGACTCATGTGATGACTATTATACCAGCAGTCCAGCAAAAAGACCAAGAAGAGATTCAATCAATGTACCAAAAGATGCACCGAAAGGTAAACTCACTCCCCTTACATCTTTCAGTTATTTCTCATTAGAAGGCTAAAAGAACCAAGAATCAAAAATATAAGAAATATTGATTGAAATGTCTGTGACATGCACAATTCTCTTGTTGTTGCTGCCAAAACTTTTATAAAATTGAAAATAGTCATTAAAAAATATTTTAGTTTGCTACAAATGTAAACCACTGTTATCTTCATTGAATTTGTAACAAAGAGATTTGCCAAATAAGTCATAGGCATGTTGGCTGAGTGGTAAAGTGCTTAGTCTTGTGCTTAAATCTCGGCAAAGGCAGAGATTTTTAATTTAGGATTTTTAGGATACTCCTGAGTCCACCCAACTTAAATGGGCAGCTGACATTATTTAGGGAAAATAAGGGAAGTTGGTTGTTAACCATTGACCAAAGAAACAGACGATCAATGCCCCACAGATTGCTAGGTCTGAAATGGGAACTTTACTGGGTTTTTTTCATATGCTTAATATCTCATGCTGTTTTCTATCTCTCTCTAGTTCTCTTGTATGTACGAGAGCATCACGAGGAAGTCTACACAGCTTTGATGCTAGAGATTCCAACACTTCATGGACTTTTAAAATCTGTAAGCCATTTGTAGACTTTCGAATGTTTGAATACATAGGAAAATAATTTAGAATGAAGAAAGTAATCTAATCCACTAATTTGAAGGTTTTTCACATTTCACTTTTATGTTTCATTTTATTTATTTTTTCTTACATTTGGAACAGATTGAACAAAAATACTCCATCTCGCCTTCAAGAGTTAAAAATTTGTACAAAAAGTCAAGAAAAGGGTAAGAACATTTTATTAATAAATAGATTATTTCATAGTTTCGTGTGTTCATTTTTTCCTATTAATAAAATTATATACTCTATATTGTTAGCAATTAGATAATTATCTTATAGTAATTCTTTGTTAAGTGAATGTTTATATCAATGATAACATTTATATCTGAATAGGATCCTTGTCAGATTGGATGATAATATTGTCCGACATTATTCACACGAGTCAACGTTCATCATAGAGAAGAATTTAATCAATGATGACAAAGATTATGAAATTATTCTCATAGAAATTGACCCTCCAACTACGTAGAGAAAAGATTTGACTAAGAAGCAAAAAAAACTCTGAAGCAGCTAATCTCAACAATTTGATGACAATGGTTGCAATGATTAACATTTGTTATAGAACAACTTAGGTTTCAGTATGAGAAGATTGGTTCAGAAGTAAACAGAACAGAAAAAAATTTTGGGTAAATAGATTAAATCATCTTAAAGTGCAGTATAAACAGCAGTCTCATTAGTTTAAAGCTGTTGAAACACAATGGTATGCCTTACTAAGAATAAGTGCTATTTTACAGCTATTGAAATAATACATATGTCATGATCACTGCAATAATTTCACTACTTGCTACTTGCATTAATAGTTTTTGTTTTTTTTGGGTGGGGGGACATTATTCCTATGTGTGCTACTAATCAGTGGATTTGAATTAGAGATTTATCTGGCAATTTCATGACCACAGTTTAGGATTATCAATAGGATATGGTGTGAAATAGTATTATAAATCCAGAACAACACTTTAAAGAATTGACTGAGTCTTGAGACCAGTCTTCAAAAGTCTTCATGCCCATACTTTTGGACTCAACATGCAAATTCTCCAACACTGGTTCTTTGGTCCTATATTAATGGCCAAATAATTCTGTACTACTTTATACAATAAAGTAGACATACAATGAAGAACATGTTAAATCATTAAATGATAGTAACAAAAAATGTGACATAGGTCAAAGCTCACCAAAGGCTAAAAAAGAAAAAAGCCATAAAAAATTACAAGGAAAGCTTGAAATCATCATATATTATGACATATAACAAGTAGAAGAAACTCATTCACTCTGTGCCAACAATGTAGTATATAAGAATATATATTTCAGTTTATGCTCTGGTTTGTATATTTAACATTCATTGTATTTGAGTTTGTATATGTATGATTCATTAAGGTCAAGTCAATGTAGCTAACAGTTTGTGTAGCTAATATTTGTTAAGGTTAGGTTAATGTAGTTAACAGTTTGTGTATCTTATAGTCATTGTGGTTCACTTCCTGTATCTTGTGGTACAAAAACATTATACTTTGCTAAATATATCCCACTTCTTTGTCTCATTGCATTGTTGGTTAGGGATCCATCAAATATTAGGAACTACTTGATGGCGGAAACATAGTTCAAGTTTTGAGAAGTGCATGTGTGTGGTGTGATTTGTTCGATGTGTATATGTTGGGGGTTTGATGTGTGTGATGTGTCTACATTTTGCCTTGTAATGCTTTTATTTCATGTCATTTGTTATACTTTAGTTAAATAACAAAAAAAAAAAAAAAAAAAAATATATTTACTTAAATCACATAACATTTTGTTATTTGTAATTTACATTCTACTACATGTTGCAATAATATACAAATGCAACTATATGCAAATATATGCAAAAATATTTGTACATATAAAAGAAAATTAATAATAAGGTCTTATATTTCATATTTCTCTATTTCCTTGCTATATGTATGATATGAGAATGTACAAAAATTATAATTTTCTTATTAAATAAATATTTTTTTTTTTAAATTTGGTATTACTGAATACAAAACTAAACATTCCTAAGTATAATGAATTTACTATAACAACTAAATTATGATGACGGACAAACTCTTATTAAGTGTTCATTTGCATAGACATATACTATTAAATGACCCTTTTTGATCCCTTGACTATAATAGTAAATATATTTTTTCTGTGTAACATATGACTGGACACTTTTGTAGATTGTTGAATTCATGGAATTACAATTGATGTAGAACAGATCAGAACCCATATACATCCTTTCATCTATTTTTAGTATCATGTGCTCACTTTAAACATTCCACCAATAATGTTTACACTTTGTTTTTCTAATTTGTCTTCATTGCTTACTAAATCTGTATTAAAACCAAAGAAAATTGTTTTTAAAAGAGGAGATAACTGAGACTGATACATATTGCAAAAATTAAAACTATTAAATAAGTAGTTCCCCTTTTCAACTCATTCTCCAGTTTCCAAAAGTGTAAAATGCAAAATAAAATAGATATAATCTAGTATGATAGATTTAAATAATACCTATTTGATATCTTGAGCTGTGTGAAGCAAAATTCTTTATTACAAAACAAAGATGTTCTATAAAACGAATTCGATATAAATGAAATTTCTAGGTTGTATAAAACCTTTGTTTAAATATATGCCGTCATTAATGTCATTGTGATTATATCAGCCATGCCACATAGAAGACATATTTATCTTTTATATCTGTATTTCAATGACTCAAAGTCTAGGTTACACGTACTTGTATCTATAATTGTTTGGAACACTTAAGTAATGAGATGTTCTATAAAGCATCTAGATGTGACCTTCTGTTTATTAAATAGCTTCAGTGAAGCATGACACGTTGTTTAATTTGATAGTATTGCCTGACGTAGATGTGTATTTTTTTCCCTATAGTCTTTTCTAAAACTACAAACCACCTTCTCTATCTATCCATATAAAGCCCACTGTCCATGATGTACATATAAAATGTAAATAGATTCTTTGTGTCTGTGGTGATTTAACAAATATCATTATGTATACTATACAACTTCGTTGCAATTAGATCACAATCTCTATTTGTCCAATATACATTTAAAGATACAAGTTTTCCTATATTGTTTAAGCAATTTATATTATAATGATTATATATATATATATGTATAGACATAGACAATGTATTTCCAGGGTAGTGTTAACAATTGTTAGCAGGGACCAGGGTAAAAAAATGTTTTTTTTCAAAGTCTTTTTATAAAGTGGATTTGTTGTTGAAATGAAAAACTGCTGAAATTACATTCCAACCAAAATGAAGTTATAAGTAAATTGCCTATTTATGAAGTTTGGTAATCACTTGTTTGTGTGTGTGTGTGTGTGTGTTTTGTTTCATGCCTGTGATTAAGGTCGTGTCTTTCTTAAGAGATGCATCTAGAGTTTGCTGTGACGTCATACTCCTGATATATAGCTTTGCTGCTACAGAATCTATAAATAGTTCTGCTTCTGAGCCAAAAATTGATCAAGTTCTGTGAATATATATGCATAGAGAGATCTACTTGAATGCATTCCTCTATAATATATATATTTATATATATATATATATATATATATATATATATATATATATATATATATATATATATATATATATATATATATATATATACTTTTATTATTGAGTCATATCAAATGATCAAAGTATATTTACACTAAAATATTCTGTGTATACAACAAAATGACTAATTATACCATTTCTATATCTAAATTCAACTACTCAGAAAAATGGAGTGAAAAAAATGCCCAAACGTGTTTTATTTATTGTGTTAAAATTGAAATGTTGTTTTGTTACTAGATTTATTTATGTGCATTGTATTACTTAAAGCCAATATGCATTTGTTTCAATTTGTAAGGTCTCTACTTTGAGTTTGTAAGTATCTGCAGTTTGGCGGTAGATTTTTTTCAAGAGATTTTTCTTTTGTTAAGTAACCTACATGACCTAATCTGTTGGAGGAATATTTTCTATTGTGTTTTCTATACAAATATTTACGTTTTTTTTGTTCGTCCTATCACCATGATACATTAAAACGGATTGTTTCGTTTATACTTCTGGAGGTTGAGGTTTTTGTTTTGTGTGTGTGTTGTCTCTTGTTGCAACAGGATCGAAGTGAATGTCTCGACGTTGGAAACACCTTTGAGATGACGGAGATCTAGTAATGAGAATAAGAAAATGACCTCTAGGTCAGTATTCTTGGGGATAAAGTATAGTTAGCCAGTACCCGTTCAGTTCTTTGGGACTTCCTTACATGGGTGGTCGCACCTCAGAAGTCCTTCCACTGACGTTAAAATATGAAGAGTCGTGGTCTCCTTTAGGCAAATTAATTGGCTTTGTTAATTCTAACCAAATTGATTCATTTTACTACTATACAAGACTCCGTCAGAAAATAAGATGACTAAACGCTTTAGAGTATTCACGTGTCTTTCAAGGGAGTGGGAAGAGATTTGAATTTTTTTTTTTTGGTCATTATCATTAGAAGAATTAACATTGTCGATTGTTATTCAACGTTACGATAAACAAAAATCTCGAGTCTTAATTTTTACTTTACTTTTAGAAAATCAAATCAAAGCGGTTGAGACACTAGTGCTGAGGTCTAATGATCCACATGTCATCACAAATAATAGAACACAGCAATACTTTTCAATGGACCAACCTGTGTGTTGATTACTATAAAATATTTAAGTAACATTTAAATAAATACTTTTTTAATATATGATATTTGAACATAGATTTTAAAAATATTGCAACCAATTAAAACCGAAAAAAAGATAAGGGGGGGAGCTAAAGTCAGTGAGGATTGTGTGCTAGTGGATGCAACCCACAGAGTTGCCGACTTTAATTTGGATTCTAGGAGAAATAGCCCAGTGGATTGTAGGGTTCTATTTTTAGAAACGTCCAATTAAATTTCAATTACTTTCTTACTATGATAAGACATCTACCATGTGGAAAATAAAAGCTCGAACTAAATCTTTTTTATTTTTCATTTTCAATCAAATACTTTTATGGTCTTTAAGATTTCAAATCTGTTGAACCTGTTTTTCTCTTGTTTTATAGCTTATAGTATTTGCATGTTCAATAGCACACGGCTGTGTGTGACAGTCGCCCGGTACAGACAAGTTATTTTTTAAACGCATTTGTACGTGATTGATTGCCTTGCAAAGTTAGCACTCCCTCTGACTATATATTAACTAAACCCTGTATGACATCAATCATTAACTAATTGTCCCTCCACAGACCTAGTCGTCCAGTCATTACATTTCACTTGTCAAGGAAACCAACAAACAAGACATGAAAAACAAGGTTCCAATGAAAGAGCAAGGTCGATACAGTGCAGCCAATTATCTAAATGGCCATCGCCTTCTGCCGTACCAGACATTAGCCGAGCTCACTGTCACGTGTCTTGTCCAGATCTTGAGATATGTAAACATGGCAACAGGGACAACTTCCATTAGAATAAATTTTTAAAAACTTAGTTGTCAGGCATGTGTCATCAAAAGACTTTCCTTAATAATGACACAAATACAAGAAGTCACCAGCCTAGTTATTTACGTATTTTGGTGAATTATTCACGTATTAGAATCCTGTCTACTCTAAACTGGTATGTCATTAGGAAGAGTGTAACATTCACTTAGTAGCTTTTAGAATATGAACATCGGAAGAACAGAAGCTCCAGGGAAAACCTTGCAATAATGAAAAATACTATTTTTGATTACAAGGGGGCCACTCTTTGTTTTTGGTACCATTGTAGTAGCGAAATGACCTTGCACCTTCGTGAACTGATCACTGATGTGACAGTGTCACATATCTTGTTCCAGTGTCCTCATCTCCAAGAATTAAGGGGGGAAGTGTCTGGATCGTCACTACATCTGCTTGGTGGCTACGCGGCACTTCGACGGCACATCTAAGCCCAATCGAAGTTCATCTCAGATCACTCCATATGTCTCTTATAAAGCGCAGCTTCTAATTGTGGAAGGTAGTATAATATTATAATCAGTTTGTCACAGATACAATAGTAACCTTGTTGTACTTTATAATACTTAATGTGAATTTGTTGAGCCTAGAGCGTGAATACATGACAATGTGGACTGTGGACATAAGTTACAAGAATGCCAGTGAAAGAAAGAACGAGATATCAGTCATTCATCTTAACAGTCATATAGAGAAAAGTCAATTAGTATTCAGTTGATCCAAGAGACAGTCAAGTAAAGTCGTTTATGTTATAAACTAGAAATCTGTAGCTATTCATCAAGAAGTGTTGATTTTGTTTGTATATAGTTAATATCTTAGACTGAGAACAGTAGTTGCGTAAGTGTGTGCGCTCGTAAAAAGTAATTACGTTTAAACAGTAATAGCTCGTACATCATTGTGTATTTCTTGACACGGAAAATGTGCATAAATAATATTTATCAACTGTTGGATTATGCTAATTATGTTTGGATTGACCTTAAACCATTTCATCGTCTGTATATTTATATAAATAGATATTGCATTCAGTACTAAGTAGTCAAGTGACACTCTCGCGAGTTTGCAAGTAGCTCTAGTCACTGTAATTCTCTCAAGTATCTGGACAACACGCTACACAAATTCTAGAAACTGCTACATCCCCCTACAAATAAGTAAATGTCACGTATTACATTGACACATGTGGTATCAGGGTAGAAAACAATGACATACATTGGTGACGTACTATTCCAATGTCTCTCTGAGAGGTAATCATGTGTCTAGCCTTCAAATATGGAGAAAAAAATATATTTTGGGCCCAAAGTTCTAGGACAGAAATAGAACAGTCTCGATGTTTCCTTTATGAAGAGACACTTTTATTTAGCTTCACTTTTTTTTATTTACTACTTGTTTCTATTTGAAAATGTGATTCATGCGTATCTTCCGAAGTTTCGTGAATCAACATTTTCCAGGAGAAACCTGTGTACCTTGGTAAGGAGGAGGGGGAAGGTCCTAAAAGATTTGAATCTACCTCGTGACGTTGAAGATGAACTCATACAAAAGAGTTACTTGTGCTGTTAAGTAATAACTCTAAAGTTTACGCACACATTCAAACATTCTATGACAGGACACGAAAGCCTAACCAAATATCGAGCCCGGATCGAGAGATGTGGATATGTTGCTCCCAACTGCGCAAGTGGCGGCCATTTTAAACGATTCTTTCCCCCAATATCTGTCGGATGATAACGAGGATGCAAAGATCATGTCAGATCTCTCGAGGACTTCTTCTTCTCGTGGACTTCTTCTTCTCGTGGACTTCTTCTCGTGGACTTCTTCTCGTGGACTTTTCCTCGTGGACTTCTTCTCGTGGACTTCTCGTGCACTTTTCCTCGTGGACTTCTTCTCCTGGACTTCTTCTCGTGGACTTCTTCTCGTAGACTTCTTCTCGTTGACTTCTTCTCGTGGACTTCTTTACGTGGACTTCTTCTCGTGGACTTCTTCTCGTGGACTTCTTCTCGTGGACTTCTTCTTCTCGTGGACTTCTTCTCGTGGACTTCTTCACGTGGACTTCTTCTCGTGGACTTCTCGTGGACTTCTTCTCGTGCACTTCTTCTCGTGCACTTCTTCTTGTGGACTTCTTCTCGTGGACTTCTTCTTCTCGTGGACTTCTTCTCGTGCACTTCTTTTTGTGGACTTCTTCTCGTGGACTTCTTCTCGTGGACTTCTTCTCGTGGACTTCTTCTTCTCGTGGACTTCTTCTCGTGCACTTCTTCTCGTGGACTTCTTCTTCTCGTGGACTTCTTCTCGTGAACTTCTCGTGGACTTCTTCTCGTGCACTTCTTTTTGTGGACTTCTTCTCGTGGACTTCTTCTTCTCGTGCACTTCTTCTCGTGGACTTCTTCTCGTGGACTTCTTCTTCTCGTGCACTTCTTTTCGTGGACTTCTTCTCCTGGACTTCTTCTCCTGGACTTCTTCTCCTGGACTTTTCGTGGACTTTTTCTCGTGGACTTCTTCTCGTGGACTTCTTTCATGTTGTTCAGTCCATTTTTCTTTTTAATGTAGGCGCTCGAAATACTACATCATTATGAGCGAGTGTAATTTTTTTCCTGACAAGTTATCTGCTGTTTCAACGCCTTGTCCTATTTAGGTGGATTGATTAGTTTGTTTATTTATTAATGCTTAGTAAACTATCGAGTCAAACAACTGACAGGAGGCATAGATAAATACATTCAGTCTCAAAGTTTTAACTACTTTCAATGCAAAGATATCTCTCAAGTTACTGACTTAGTCGGGCTAGATAGTCAAATATTTACGAGGTTATCACATTTAAAATGCACAATTACAGGGAAGGTAACTCGTTTTCGGGAAGTGTATATGGAGGATGTTATCGCGATGTTCATCTTGTAAATTGTTGATTACTTGAGTCTACTAACCTACTAAACAGTTCACTTTATCGAATTAGTCTGGCCTGAACTTGATTCTTGAACTAAAGCTAGTTCAGAAAGTATCAAGTTATTTCTAACGAAAGACTTTCAGGAAATAGGACAATTTTGTTTGACATTCATTAACGTTCCAATTAAAGATGTTTTATGTAAGTCTTAGAGGGTTTATAGAAGTCTAAGAGGGTTTATAGAAGTCTTAGAGGGTTTATAGAAGTCTAAGAGGGTTTATAGAAGTCTTAGAGGGTTTATAGAAGTCTAAGAGGGTTTATAGAAGTCTAAGAGGGTTTATAGAAGTTTAAAATGTTTTATAGAAGTCCAAGTCCAAAAGTAGGAGACCTAAAACTTGTCTTTAAAGTCTGTTTTTCAAATTACACATGAGTTCATTCAAAGTCTATAAAGGTCAGGGGCAGATGACGTAACAAGAACAACGACCTTTGACTTGCTCCACTAATGTGAGTCTTAAACAAGCTAAAAATACTTTTTTAAAAAACATGGCTTAGATTAATTTAAATTGCATCAATTACATTCAATCAATCGTGTAATTAATTTTTGAGACCTTCACTAATAAATTTGTGCGACTGGAAATACTTTTACGAATAGTTTTGTTTGGCGAAACTTTCATGCCTATAGCCTGCTCAGTGCGCTATGGTCCATTCAAGTCCAATT